CTCTTTCCATCATGTTCCTCATGTTCCATTACTTTTTTTTCTTTTTGCACTTTTTCCTTTACTCCTTTTCCTCTTAATTTTTTGCTTCCTGTATACATAATTTAATATTTGATTGCAGGTTTTTCTTTCTTTTCATCGTCTCATCCTCATTGACAAAGTGATGATTCACAATAGGAGTACATGAGCCCACCAAGAACATAAAGTTTCATCGTATTATTTACTTCGGAGTAAAATTTAAGATGAGAATTAAAATGAAACTCGTAAAAAGAATTGTTCCTATTATGAAATACGTCACAAATAGACCAGAGGAAAAAAGGAATCTACAAATAATCAAAAATTTATAAAAAAGTTAAAGTTTACTTATACTGATATCTGATTTCCTTTTTTCTCAAGGCTTACCGTAGCATTTCTTTGTCAGGAAAAAGTGAGCTTAACGATATGTGTTTTTCACTTGCTGTAACATCCAACGAAATAAAATCTTCTAGTCCTACCTGAAATAAGTGAACATGAATATATTTCCATAACAAATTCAAATGTATTTGATTTTTAAGACATCAAATAATCTTATGAAGTTTTAAAATCTACTCCACCCTATCATTCTAAAATAAGTTTTTCCTTTTAAAACCATAATTAAATCATTACTTACTTCATTCCTTTGATCTTCTTCATCTTCCTTATTACCAAAAATTGGTTTCAAGGTACTTGTCCGCGGATGTTCAATGATTTTTATAGCATTGTCCCCTTTCGGTAGTTTTGCCACAGTTAGAAAATCCTCATCGATTGGTGCACATATCAACGCAAATCGTTGTGGGCGACCTTGTGTTGTTGATATAAGAGATACAGGTACTAATGCTGCAGAATTCATAATGGATTCTGAAACTAGAAACTATCTAAGGATGATCATTTTATATTCCAATGATCATTTTTTTAAATATATATTTTGTTCAAGAGTTTCTTCTCAAATTAATTTTAGAAGTCAATTTTTGAGATACTATTTAACAACGAATTTCAGAGCCATTAGATTTGTAAATTTCAATAAAGAAATCATCAAAGAATGACCTTTCGGCATTGGTCCTCTCCCGACCAACCATTTCTCAATAGACATCAGTGTTCGATGATCACGTATAACATATGCAGTACCCTTAGAGCCTGAATTCTCGAGCCAGTCGTGAGATAACTCAGAGAACTGAAATGTGAAAGGATATTTGATTGACAAGTTGCTCCAATACTTCACTCGGCGATTGTGTGGCCGTCGTATATACTTTTCCTGCAAATGAAATATTTGCGTAATATTAAGATTACTTTATAAATCAGTACATCGTTTTGTTCGATATCATGCAAACGATCAGATGCCTTCCATATGAGGTTAAAAATTGCTGAAAGTTTACAAAGTAAAAACAAATTTTTCTGCGTGCTTAAATACGTTCCATTTGTGTAATAATCACTTCGGAAATAATTTAAATGCTCTCAAATCCTTTCCCGCTAGCGAAAAATTAATATTTGAATATTTAAGAAAGAGACCTGAAGGTTAATGTACTCTTCTTTGAATTCGTTAAGACCAGCATCACAATCTGGTACATCAGCAGGGAAATTAAAACGGCTTGATTCCAGTTCTAGGAATTTCTGATCCTTCAATCCAACACTCCTTGCAGTACCATACTGCAGAGCAAGCCAAAATTCCAAGCCTGAAAGACTACAGGAAATTATTTGAACATAATTTAAAAATTTCACAAAGACAGTGAAAATAAAGAAAAACGCGAAGTAAATTTACCAAAGCCGGATGGTGTTATGAGATCCAAACCAGTGAAAGGACTTGTTGTCCCTGTACCCGTATTTCGAACTACTAAGATTATCGGTATCTGCAACAAAAGAAAGGACCAGAGTGATACTAGACAAAGTACATATAAAAACTAGGATGAATAAAAAAAGATCAAGAACAGTCGTCCTTTACTTTTTATATGCTGCAATTTGCATAATCCAAGTAGATCCAAGAAACTAGAACTGAAGAGTAATAGCTCAAGTGTGAGATAATAAACCTTATTAATTATGCCTAACTGGTATGACTGCTCTTTAAAGTTTTAATTGAAATTTGCCGAACACCAAAAGATGCTGACTGCGTAATGAATATGAAATAGCAACAAATATTGAGTAAAAGATTATATATGTACAAAAAGTTGTAAGCAAAACCTTAGCTTCAGATGTTTTCACTGGCTGCAGCTGCGTATTCCGCTTCTTTTGCAAATCCGTTTCCGTTAGTTTCTTTTCAAGAACCTGAAATAAAATGCGGCAATCCGGACAGTACTATACAATAATGCAGACTGCACATCGGATAATGCCTGACCGTAAATTTATAAAATATCAACTATCGCATGATGTTTTATGAATATACAGCATATCTCAGACAAATCTCATATAATCCATAATTGCTTGGTCTTTGTAAAGATGAAAACATTTTAATCCATTTGCAATCTTTCACTTCATTTGCAATAGGAAATTAATTAGTGGAAAGGTGGCATCAAATTCAGACCTTTTTTCGGATTTCAGCATTCCAAAAGTCGTTTGGTGGAAGTGGCAAACTGTCTACGCTTAACGATTTTGCTGAACACCCATCAGTTTCAGTTGGCTTCATCTTCCTCAACGGTCGACTTAATCTAGGATCTTCCACAAGTAAACTGAAAACAGTGCCATCGGGAAATTCACCGGGAGTATGCTTGCTGCATTCATTTCTCCAGTACTGGTTACTTGATCTAAAACTGACAGCAACCTGTATTTCTCACTCTGACTGAAACTTCCTTATCTGCTTTAACTTCCCATATTTTAAACATTAAACTGGCATCATATGTGAATAACATTTCAGCATCCTGATCATTTTGAACTTTCTCACCATTTTTCAAAAGCCGTACCGAAAAGTACTAAAGATATTGAATCAGACTCGCTCAAAGGTGTTACACCAGGTATAATTCTACAGAACATTTCATGCACTCGTCACTTTCTATCTTCATTACCTACTAAGAATGAACGCTAACACGAATTCTTTCATCCATGAATCCTGAAGATCATTTTCTTCGACAACCGCAAGAACTTCGCGTAGTATTTCAAATGATTTAGGACCATATAATCTGAACCGAACCAGCTGATCACTTAAATCCAATAGCTGAAAAACAACTTAATATATATTTTTTTAATACAATCAGATTAAATAAGTAAATTACACAGCCAAATCACACATTTATTAACGAGTTTTAAGAAAACTGGAACTACGAATTTGACAGTGAAAACCAAGTCAATTATTCCATCCATAGTTATGCAAAAAATAAGTAAAGGAATTTTGAGCTTTTAAAAAATAAAGCACGGTCAAAAAAATCATGATCGAAGCATAATTTAGAGATAAACTAATTTTATTAAAATTAACAAAAAAATTAGGGATGACGTCTTAAAGATTTGGAAATGAAAGATGGTGTTATCACAGACTTCGACCCTTAAGTCCAACGAGATTTAGCAACCATTAATTCTTCATTAATGAATTATTAAAGATATATATATATATATATATATGAGAGAAGAAAAAAAAAATTGCTTGGTGCAAATTCCAAAATACTGTACTTTTAGACCTTCACCATTTACGTAGACATCCGTCTTTATCTGCAAATTACGTAGCCTCCATTCATCGATACTGCGTGGTACTTTATCTATTTCTACAAAATCTACTGCTTGGTCCTGCTTTTCCAATTTTAGCAGATCCTTAAATTTCGATAATACATTTTTACTGGAAGACGGATGTGTCCAGATAACCAACGTGTATTTTTCATCAGTCCTAGAAATATACAATTATAGAACTTGGATTTTTTCCAAATTCGACATCAAAACAATACCACTTGGATGAAAATAATATATTCATACTAATATTAATTCAAATGTTCAGCCGAAAAAACCAAACATGAATGTTTTAAAATCCATCGGCTCTTCTTGCCCTGTATTCTCCTACAAATCTCTGAATTCATACGGAAACCTGATATAGAAATATAATTGGTTTTAGAAAACAATCGATGAGTTACTGGTTGTCAGTGAACACCCTAGTCAATAAGGAACGAAAAAAATCTGCCAAGCTATAAAATGACAGAGTTCTGACGCTAGGGAATTTCGGTAAATAAACCACTTTCGACAAAAATAAATGGTTAAATAGTATAGCATAGAACAAAGTGTAAAAAATTACCTGTGCCTACTCCATAAAAATCTAGCAGGTGAAATAAAACCACGCGGATACTCGCTTGGTTCATACAACATAACTGGCATTTCAAAATGACCATCTAAGGCAGTTTTGAAGGCAAATGTTGCACCAGCTTCGGGTGCACAAATATTACGCAACAGCTCAATTATTGCTGCTTGACTAGTTCCAATTATCTAAATGATCGAAAACCACCGTGGAACAAGGTTATAATAAATTTACTGTTTGCATTACTCTAACTACCTAATTATCAGAAATATTTTAAACTTTGTAATTAAATAACTGAATATAATTAAAACTAAACTCACATTGGTTTAATTAAACTGTCATACTAACCGACTTAACGTAGTCAGTTCAAGACTCAATGACTATGCTATATTTCGAACAAACTTCACGTTCTATATCCAAGTGTTAGCTAGAAACAAGCGGGCAAAAACACTGATTACATCATCGGCAAATGAAAAGTAAACATTATTTGGATATATCGTCATGAATCAGTCAGGAAATTGTTACTAAGACTGCAACTATGCCAACAAAAGATATGTGACAGTGAGCTTTGACTTGTCTTGGTCTTAGTATTTACTTCAAACAATTTATAATAAATGGTATTTTTAAAGAAAAATGATCCGAAAATTTGAGTTTACCTGAAAACAATGCAAGAAGCTAACGTCTCGAACAACACAATGCCTCATTGCGTCACGATGCGACGGTCGAAAAGCCCGTTGGTAACTGCAGAACGGTAAATTGTAGCCCCATTTTTGAATCATTCGAAAACGTTTTGCATGCCATATATGTGTTTCAAGCCATACATGCTTTCGTTGGCGTCTGATATAATTCTAGAATTTACAACGATTAGGAGAATTTGAAAAAACTGTGGTAACTAGAAAATTTGTAAACTGAAGCAAGCTGATGTCACCGAGTGCAAAGGCACCATTTCAGGCATTACATAAGTATATATATATATATATATATATATATATATATATATATATATATATATATATATATATATATATATATATATATATATATATATATATATATATATATATA